ACTCTACTCTACTCTACTCTACTCTACTCTACTCTACTCTACTCTACTCTACTCTACTCTACTCTACTCTACTCTACTCTACTCTACTCTATTCACACGCATCTCACCACTAATTAAACCATCATGCTTGAGATGGTTGCCTCACATTACCATGTGGTAGGGCCCACCTTACTTACTTCAATTGATCAAATGCCCTGGTTCAATGTAGTCTGTGTTTAAGGTGTTAAACTACACAGGGAGGTAGAAGTCTACCCTCTGATGTGAGAGTTTATTGGGGGAATATAGGCAACTTTTTATTTCATGGTCCAACCTCCTACACAGAATGGATTTTATGGAGAAAACAAGGCAAAGATACTTTAGAAATATGTTTTAAGCTCCTAAAGAAAGACCAACTATGAACCAACCAACCAACCAATCAAATAAATATTTCTCCCAACGTGCCCCAATGTGACTATTATTATTTCCAATGTATAAATTGTGTTTTCTTAGATTTTTTTTTATTTTAAAAAAATCCGATCTGTAGTTTTATTTCTGCTTTTGATTATGGTGATTGCTGCTTGAGTTTCTGTAGTTAAAAAAAACCAGGGTACAGTATTTTAATTAAACAAAATTAAAAATCTGCATCTTCTGAAGCAATATGAGCTTTTCAGCAGCCTGGGGACATCCAGAATCTTATATGAACACCAGTGCTCAATGGGAAATATTCCATACGGGAAAACAGAAAGCAAGAAATCAATGTTTTGGCTTATATTTTTTGGATTCAAAACACACTTTCAAGCTAACATGTTACTCTGTGCTCTGTCTTGGCGCATAATCCATTTCAGTTCTTGTGTGATGGATTTAAAAGGGAAGTTGGTCTTTATTTGTGCCGAGTTTATCACGGCTCGGGTAATGAAATAGGAAATCATACATCAACCACTGGTTCCCTGGCTTTTGCATTCTGACATGTACCATCTCTTCTTTTATGTGTTGATCCATCCCACAATGAGACAGGTTGAATCGAGTAGCTAAATAAACCACTGACGCTTAACTTGCAATGAGAGGCACTAATTACGTTTAATTTCTGGACCTGTTTTGATGAAGTGCCCAGCCCTGAGTCAGCAGTGATGGACTTTCGCGAGGGGCCCAGAATCCTGCAGCTGCTGTAACTCCACTTTTGCCTGCAAGCAACTCCGCCAGCTGTCTCTGCCTATATTATACCACCGTAATGCGAACAACTGGAAGCGATAATGTTTCTCCCCATTTGCCTAACAATACCAACATGAACAATAATTCAGGAGGCTGAAGATTTGTGCGGTAATTTAATAAACCCCATGCACATTTCTACAATTGAGCATCACATCTGTGCAATGGATCCTAGAAGTGTAATATTCTTTTATAAGGGACCATTAACCAATCTCAAGTTTATAGGTTTCCTTAAATCTTTTTCATCAGCTGTTAAACTACGGTAAAGAGAAAATTGCCTCTTATGAGACACGGGATAGTAAAATACAAAGACTGTGATTAAACGTCAATCAATTAAGGATGCACATGCCATAAAAATGCTGACTGATGATTAAAATGAGCTCTTTCTGGGAGAATTTTACAGCAATATTAAGAAATGTTTTCAAAAGTTGACAGACTCAACTTACACCTAATTGTATATCAGGGAGGTTGTGCTTAATTGCTGTATTTGGAATAGGAGTTATCCCGATAACAACCTTAACATGGAATTATTTTATATATATCTCTATGCTAAGAAGCAAAGATTTTCATCTGCTGGATTTTATTAAGTCCTTGACCTCTAGACATAATTGGCAATGTTGCATGACATGCCTAATGATGTTTTGAATTAGCTAGTATTCATTGTATTGAAAAAAATAAAAACAAAAACTAGAAATGGATAATGCAGGTAACACCAGAGATGAATACATTAAACAAACCACAAATTATTTATAGGATGGAGGCATTGTGCAACTTTTGCAGCTAACTCCAGTAATAGATATTTTTTTTAAAAAAAGGAACAATAAAAGGTAAGATGTGTTCTGGATGCTATTTAAAATTCCGTGAATGAAGTTGGACAATGGCATCACAAAAAATGTTGCCAAATAGATCCTTTTGCTTTAAAAACAAATATAAAGTATAAAATCTGCCCCCAGAAATAATTTTTGGAGGAATTTCACTGTGCAGGTAAGATTACCACCTAAATCAAAGCAAACTGAACTATCACAAAACCTCTCAAGGTGAGTCAGGAACATTGATTAAAAAGCCAGTTCTTGGCCGTCATTCTTTATGCGAGATAATTTTTGCATTTGCTTATGACATTATTTTTTGACAATACTGAATGACTGAATGTCCATTTAGAACTAAATGAAAGAAACATCAGATTATAAAAATAGGATACATTTGGAGCCTGGTCAGAAATTAACTGCCAGGTTAATCCTAGTTTATCCCATGCAACACAGCAATAATGACTTAACAACCATATTCTTTGGGTGAGGGTATAAAAGTCAAGATATGGATATGACATTGTGATGATCGCCTTGTCCCACTTGTATGTTAGTGTGATGCACATGCAAAATACAAAAGGGCTGATGTGCATTGAGATGTGACCTTTATGATCTCATCTTTTTTTGATCCCCATTGAAATTTCCGAACTAGAATGCTGAGGTCAACTATTGACTTTTTTTCTATTGCATTTTTCTTGTTTTCTTCCGTAGTTATCTGTTGTGGCCCAGCAGGAGCCGTTGGAGCTGCCACCAGACTCCAACAGCGAGGGGCCCTATGAGTTGGCTCTGGAGGATGTGGAGGACCCTGGACAGGGTTCCGACTCCGAGCAGGGTGCAGAGAGGCTGATTGGTGATGAGGAAGCGCCTGAGCCTTGGACCAGTGGGGAGGAGACAAGGGAGTGTGATCCCGATGTCATGCATTGG